ATTTATTTACAAAGAAATATTAGTTAAATAAAATATATTTTTATTTTTGTATTTTCTGATTTTTATATTATTTTTGTATTTTATGAAAATAAATTAATTTAAAGAATTACATTAAAACAAATAAAATAGAAAATATGAAAAAAAGAATGAAAAGCAAACCAATGGGGGTTCTGTCCCCAAACTGGAGGTGTAATCCATCAATTCTGGCCCATCTTTGGAGGCCTTTGGTTGACTTTTCAGCGCGTATGTGGCACCTCTGACTCATGCCCATGGTGCTCTTCCAATCAGTGCCCTTGGATTGAGGTTACAGGCCATGTGGAAAGCTTGGATATGGAGAGTATGGTGAACCTTAGGAGGCACGCTGCATAGGAAGATATTAGAAAAAATAGTATTGAAGGGATAGGGGGACCTGGGAATCGAACCCAGGTCCCAATGTTTACCACACTGAAGCCCTGCCAATTGTGCTAACTGCGCGCGTTGTATATGGAATGACAAACAAATAACATAAGGGAAAATTGGTTAGTGACATAGAAATAAAAAAAACGCGCGTTGAATTCAAATTACCCAACCATCGTTCGCCACCTAATCTTCTTCTTCCTTCATCCCTGCAATAAAAAGAAGTAGCGGGGGTTTTAAACCCCCCCCAGAATGCAAGCTTTTCAAAAATAGTGATTAGCCCATCTTGCTATATAAATTAGGCGCGATTAGTGGGTTATGTTCGTCCAAGCTTCCTGAGTTTGGCCATGGCACTGGAATGTTCTAATTTTACAGTATACAAAAATGCCCAATTTGAAGCTTGAGGAACCCTAGCGAGCTCCAATGGCGAAATCGTGTATGATGCACAAAAGCTTAATTAAAACACATGGTTAGCATCAGAATGATGAGAATAATACAAAACAAGCATTAGAACTTAAAATCATGGCATGAATGATGAAATACGATTATGCAAAAAAGGTGATACAGTCTGACTTCTAGTTACCAATTCTGGATGCTATGGACGTGGAAAAGTGTTCAGTTAGGTTCAGTAATGTCTTGGCAAGCTAATGGGATCAATCTTTTCCTCTGAATCGTCCTCCAAGGCAATTTTCAGTTTTGGATTTTTTTGATAAAATTGCAAGCTTGGTTCTTGAGATGGGGCGCAGTATTCAGGTCCTTTCCACTAGGGTTTTCTTCTGGCTTATGTATGGAATGATTAGGGTAAAGATTTTGATCCAAAAACCCTTTGCATTGATGGAAGGATATTTGATTTTCATGGCATATCTTCCAAATCTTTTTCCATGAATATTTGATTCCAATCATAGCAAAACCTTCCAAAAATGATTATGCACGAATCCTAAGCCTTTAAGGAGTGTTTATTCTGCATAAAAAGATTTGATTGCATTGGTTTAGTATTTTTTCCACATTTTAATTAATTAAATGAATTAATTGTAATTAAAAATTCAAATAAATAATAAAAATGATAAAAAAATCCTTTTTGGGCCAAATGGTCGTGCATATGCTTTGGATGATGAATCTTGGAAGAAAATGTGGCCCATTAGCAATTTTAAGACATTTGAAGCAAAGTTGACTTTTCAAAATATCCAAAAATTTCCCAACTTCCACAAGGAATATCTTGCTCAATTTTTAAGCTTTGATCATGTTCTTGGACATTTTGGAAAGGTATTGAAGTCCTCTAACCAATGCCTTTTGTCCCATGTCATTTTGATTTACCAATATCAAGTTATGGCCTTTGACTTAAAGTCCCTTTTTGTTGACTTTTGAAAATGACCTATAATGTTGAGATTGATAACTTTTTGTGAGAGCATTTCTTGGACTTGAAGTGTGAAGAGGAGTTGTAGGAAATGTCTTTCTCTTCAAAATGAGATTTGGATGGAATTTTTCTGATGATCCATGTGGAAGTTATGCCTTGGTCAAGTTACAGTTGACTTTTTCAACTGTCCAAATATGGAAACTTTTGCATCTTGAGACTTTTTGAGCCATGCCTTGAAAATCATGATCAAGAATTGATCAAATGATGTTTGTGGCTTCAAAATGAGATATTGACCAAAAATTTGGACTTTTGACTGTCAAATGACCATTTTGCCCCTGCAGTTGACTGTAGTGCAATTAGGGTTTTTGACTGTGCAATTTTGTGTTGTAAGTCTTGAAACTTGACATGAGGATGCTTAACCATGTTTATAGGCATGTGGGACTTGTTTGGACCCTTGGAAACTTCATTTTCTTTGTCAGAACCAAAACCCTAGCTTTTGACTGTTAGGAGGCCCTTGACCTGTGCAACCCTTGGGGAGATTTTGAAGCATGCTCTTTGCAATTCTTGAAGAATATGGGAGGGAAAATTTTGGGGTACAACAATGTGTTTGTTACTAAATCCCAACAGATGTTCCTTGATAACCAAGTTATTCTGCTGTGTATCAAATTCTGGTTAAACATACATCTAACCCCGATAACCCATGTAATCCAAAAAGCAAAATAATATAATAAAAATAGATTCCGAAAAAGAAAAATAATAATACATGACTGACTCCGGAGCGCAAATTTTTGGGTTCTTTTAAGTATTTAATCTTCTTCCACCTTGAAAGTTCGAAAGGATGGCGCCAATCTCACCTTCAGGTTGAAGACGATTAAATAGGGGCAGCTGTTGCACCCCAAAATTTGCCCTCCCAATTTCTTTTATTTTGGCTTAGACTTTTGCATTCATCTGCATCTATTTCATTAGGTCACTAACATGGAATACATTTCATTCAATATAGCTCTGAGGTTCAAAGTTCAGTGGTTGTGCGATACTAGGGTTTCATAGTGGTTAAGGCGCTCATATCCAATAAAGGACTTCTTCTCCCTCAAGTAGCAAGGCCATTATCTTCTGATAAACAACCAATTGTAGGTCATTCTGGTCAAGAACTCTAAGGACGTGACCTAGCATATGTGGGCTTCGAATCATGACGTCCTTTCCTATAAGTATGCTTGTCATTTGATTAGGATTAATGACTGTGACATGACAATCATCTACTCCTCAGTTAATCAAATTAGGTTTTTTTGAATCATGGTTCAAAGATGTTTTATCCGGATATTTCTCTGTGCGTCTAAACGAGGAATCAAGATTGTGAGGGTTTCACATCAAGGGAATTCTTCCGTGATTCAGACTTTATCATCCATCTGTAAGATGTTCCTTATGACACTAATCTCAAGTTGAAATAACCGATCGCTAAGGGCTGAGGATTGAATTGTGAAGCGTGGTTCATGACCTAAGATATGAATTCATAGATTTCTCCTTAACCAAGGCAATCATTGTCCTCATCATTGTCATTTGTTATCTGCGATGTGAGTAGGTTTGGATTGAAGTAGGTTTCTCATAGAAGAATTCATGCAAGTTAATTCAAGGTTCAAGGCATTCAAGGCAGGGTTTGTTCAACATGGCATACCTGGTTGATGGGCTTACAAGCTCTTATGAGACCTTGAGATGCATAATCATGGGCCAATTTCAAAGATATGTGGATAAGATCTGTTGACTTCGGTTAAAGTAAGCTTTGAAAAATTAACTTTGGGACCAAGGTCTCCCTTGAATTTTCATCTAATATGTGTTGGGAATTCGAGTTGCGTTTGAAGAATGGTATGGTAAAGGAAAAGAAATATTGGTTCAGAAAAGAAAAAATTCATTAAAAATCAGGGTTTCTATTCATTGATAAAAGTTCAAGTAATTGAAGATCATGGGAAATAAGGTTTCATATTAATCTTGATCATATTCTTTCATTATCATTTACATCCATCTTTGATGATTTAAGGTGGTCAATTAGGGAAGGACTTTGTCAAGATAAGAGACTTGTGGATTGAATCGTGGAATATGAGGCATGATACAAAAGGCAAGGTTGTGAATTTTTTAGGGTCAAGATCTTATTGACTATTCAAATTATTTATCATTCAAGTTGATTTGGGTTCAAGATTGAAGTTAGGAGTTCATTGAGAATGCAAGTGTGATTTGGATTTGAAGTTTGATTTGAGTTCAAGATGTTCGAAAGTGTTTGATTGGATTAAAGTAGGAAAAGAGCCTTAAGTATTGGTCATATGAGTTTCTTGGAAGGTAAAGTACAGACTACGAGGTCTTGTTTCAAGTCGGAGTTCATACGCATTACAAAGACGTTCATCGTTATTCCAGATTCAAGTTGACATGTGTTCAAAGTTTATTCGAACCCTTTCATTCATGATTCAAGAAAATACTATCCAATTCCATTTAATTTCATTCAAGTGTAACAATACCTTACAAGAAAATTTGATGCTTTCATGTCTTCAAGCATTTTTCAAGACTTTGTCATTTAAACTCCGTCCTTAAAATTCATCACCCAACATTTCAAGCTCAAAGGTCATTTACAATTCACACTATAAATTTCAAGTTCATCCAAACCAAACATTCATTATAAAATCATTACAATCCCATTACACCAATATTCTACAAAGAAAAAAAACTGTTACAAAATACACTTGAACAAAATTCTTTAGTCCTAAAGGTGCTAAAATTCCATGAGTAAACTTCTAATTCCATGCCATGCCAAAGTTCTTCATCTTCAGTTCATGACCTGCACATTCATACCAAAAAAAATCCAAGTCAATACAAGCAATCATGCCAAAATATCCTATGCTCATACAAATTACTCGACGCATGAAAAACCATTAATTAACCCAAACCAAATGCTAAACACATATATGGAACAACCTGCATACCTTAACTTTGGCAGAGAATAGGTCCACATCATTCAAACTAACTGCAATTGAAAGGAAAATCAAATTCAGCTTCGGAACAATGTCCAACAATAACCATAATCACACATTTCCAATTGCACCTACTTTTGTTCATGCTCTTGTTGCTAAATCTATGTCAAGAAACTTCAGGGCTAATACAGTTTGAAGCCTCGTTAAAATGGAAACAAAATCTCCCTCTGGAATTACAGAACAAGTGGTGTGTGGGACTAATGGATGGGGTGCTGTTAGTTTCTCATTTCCTTCAAAAAATGGTGCACACACTCTCTCTAATGGCTTCTCACATCTACCCTTCACCCCTTGCCTTCCCCACAACACATGTTAAGGAGTGTCAAACTTTTGCACCTTCTTCTTTAGCAAAACCAGATATGCTCAATTGTCAGTATCCTTTTCTTAACTCAAGTCAATTTGGAAAGCCCGTTAAAACCCGAAAAAATTGGTTTGATGAAACTCAGTTCGTCAATGTTGATTCCTCGCCCCAATGGCATGTATCAATTGATGCACAAGAATCCTGTTCAAATGCAGTACTTTTAGGCTTTGGCATTGTTGAGCAATGTACTAAGCATGATACAGTTTCAAATCTCCTAAAATCAGGAACTGCTGAGTCACGGGTAGATGGTGCAAATATATCCTTGTTATTAGACTTGATGAAATTGCAGTTGTCAGCCATTAATGAACCTCACCAACCATTCTCATCTGACTCGTCGTCTCTTTTATACCTTAATGACAAATTCAACATCAAGAAACCTTTTCTGTATTTTCTTCAAGATTTCGCACTTACTTCAAAGGTTACGGTTCATCTTGATGGCCAAATCACATTTATGGGTGCTGAAATTCAGATGAAAGATCTTCTTTCTGTAGTTGCTGAGTCATATTTGTCAAAGAGATTACATAAGGGTGAAAAGCTCTCAGTGCTTGTTCCACACTTCAGCAGGGTGAATATCAGTGAAGCAGAAGTACAGAGTCATTCATCTACAATGAAGATAAAATCTACCTTAACCGCTCCTTTAAGGAGTCCTGGGAAAGTCAAACTCAAACCATCAAAAAAAAAAGATCATAACAAACTTAACAGTAGCCTAACAAAATTACTAACTGACTTATAGTTTAACAAACTTAGTTCCAACTTATGTCCTAACAGTTTTATAACTTCCTAATTAATCCTCTAACCAACCTCCCAACAGAATTAACAGAATTTTTTTAACTGCATCCTAACAAACTCCTAACAAACTCTAACTAACTCCTAACTTCCTAATTAACATCACCCAAGGGATCCTAACAACCTGAAAACAGTACAACTGCCAAACAGAAATCCATAATTCCAAACAGATTTTTCTAACTGCTTTCTAACAGATTTACTAACTTCCTAAACCATGACCAACTCTGAGCCCTCTATATAATGGAAATTCAGAGATTGCAGAAGAGGAGGAGATATCATCATTTAATTCAGAACCATTACAGTTATTCAATAACACAGAGAAAAGTCAGGAAAATTAGATATAAAAAAAAAACTCACCAACAAACCCTGAAATTCTCTATTCCCCCATCTTAATCTTCAACCACCTTTCAATCTTCCTCTTAAACTATCATCATCTTCAACCTTCTTCATCCTTTAATTCACATAAGAGTCACCACCAAAATTCCCTGCTCTCTCTCCCAGAAAAATACCGAATTTCACCTGCCAAAATCTCTTTCTTCTTTCTCTCTGCTTCATCTTCTTTGCAACTCTGCAGAATCTTCATTACACTTCGTGATTGCTTCAGGCTCGCTTCAATTTGTTGTTACCATCGCATCACCTTCCGTAATTGCCCCATCAACACCTTCAACCACCTCAACTATCTTCAAGCAACAACAACATCACAGTTTCCTTCAACTCGGAATGCATCGTCCATTCCGCTGCATCGTTCATCGCACTCATCACAATTGCTACGATACAGAAAAGTAACGTAAACGCTCGTAGAAACACAGAAGGTAGTAGAAGAAGAACCGTGTGAATAGGTACAAGGCACAAATCTTCACCTGAGTTCGCAGCCACCATATCGGAGTATCAAAAGCTTCAACAGGTTTCGTTTTCCCGATTACTCCATATATCTGTGTGTTTTCTTGATTGTTCGCAGTTGATTGTATATTCATAAACCATACATCATTGAGACTTAGCTCGAATTCGCGAAATCTGCATCTTAGGGTTTCAAAGTTACTCCTTTGATCCAGCCATTTGAGAAGTTTCTGGAAGGAATTGATGCGAGGTTCATGATCTAAAGGAAGCATAACGAAGGGTTTGTGTTCATTTCATAGAGATTGAAGAAGGATTGGGACGGTGGCGGCGGCGATGAATCCGTCGGATTTCCGCGAGAGAGAAGAAGTTATCAAGGAAGTCTAAACGTCACTTTCTTTAACCCCGTCCTTTAAACTAATGCGTTGTCGTTTTTGTTATTTGCCAATTTGTTCCATTTTTTGTTATTTTATTAATGGCGGAACATAATTGGAAGAATAATAAAAAATATGGTGATAAGGTTTGAATTGGGTATGGGCCAGACAACACTTTCCCCCTTGGGCCCATTAGCACTTTTTATATAACCTTGTGTATCACAAAAGAAGATTATTGGAGTCAGGATGGGCCTAGAGAATCATTTTTATATACCACTTACTTCTTATGCAATGCACCCCCTGCATACTTTCTATTATTTCTTAACTAATTTTATGTGATATTTCTACATGGCTTTTTTTTTAATTGTTCACGTGATAAAAATTCAAAAATATTGGAATAGAATTTTATTTCTTTTATTAGCTGTGTTTGTTATTTTATCCATGTTTTTGGTAGATTTTAATGCCAATTTTGTGTGAGATTTTGAAATAAAAGAGACTTGAGTGAGGAGTTTCATGAAGTTTCAAAGCTAGCTAAGAGCATAATTTTCAATCACTCGCTCAAGGAAACTTTGATAGAATTCTCTTATGGCTTGCATGGTTATGAAGAGGCGGCAGACCGTCTCCGTTCGGTATCGTCACAACTCTATTTTTACTCCTGCACTTTACCACTTTCTAGGTAGAATTCCCTCAAAATTCTAACTTTAGGTCTAATACACGATAACATTAGGTTTAGAAATAGGCTAGTCTTCCTGTGACTTTCGTCTTCCTGTGACTTTTGTCTTCCTGTGACTTTCTTTCCTCCTTTGTATATGCATTTAAAACAAAAAACTTTTTTTTACAAACTTCAAAAATACATAAAAATTTACTGACAAGAACCATGCCTTGGCTAAGTTTGAGAGATGATGAGCGGGTTTCTTCTCGACATTATTATTCTCTTGTTCTAAGCTTTGGTATGATTCAAGTCTCAAAGACTCATTTCATGAATAAGTAGAGACATGGCTAAAATCTCTCCCTTGAGATTAACTAGCTATTATCTACAAGCAAAAACACCAACAAACATAAAATTCTTTTTGCCCTCGGGCCTTTCTTTCAAACCCTTTTCAGAAGAGCATGTTAATTCACTTCTGTGCTGACGCGTAAGTCTCCAACGGTCGAGTTGCGGCAGAAGGCGAAATTAATGTTGTTCATTAAAAAATACCAACCGACAAAAACATATAAGCCGAACTACGGCTGCTCTGATTCCTTAAAAGGGATACGTAGGCATCGGGGTAGGGCCCGAACGAGCACAACTTTTATTTTCCCTACATTTTCCCCCTTTCTTTGCATGCATTCTCCCTTCAATAGTGTAATAAACAATAAGCATAGATTAAACACACCCATAAGATAGACAACAAGAGTGGATACCGTAGAGTACTACGGGCGTGTGGGGTGCTAATACCTTCCCCTTGCGTAACAGACTCCCTTACCCTTATCTCTTAGTCGTTCGACCTTGATTTCATCCTCATCAGGTTTTCTCGATGTTTACCTTTCCCTACATGTGGGATAAAAGACGTTCGATGGCGACTTCATTGTTTTGATGATTTTCAGCCGGTTGTTTCACTTTGCTCCTATGGGACCCAATGTTTAGAATAATCCTATGTCTCACCATCATGGGGTTACTGCCAATGCAATCATACTCGATGATGGTTGTGACTTAGTGACTCAAGTTGATGAGGTTCAGATGTCAATGGAAGTTTTAAGAGAACATCTTTTGAAGCAAGAAGTTCTACAAGAGCTTAATGACTTCTGTTTGAAATGCTCATCCAATCTGGACGAGTGTGATGCATTGAAAAATGGCATTCAAAAATTGATAGACGAAGGGGTTGTTAGAGTTGAGAAGGTCATCCCTGAGGGTGACATTTCTATTTTTGAGATTCCGTACTATCCGACCAATGTTCAGAGGAATAATGCAAGAGTTTCATTGGTTATACAATTTCCTAAGCTTCTTGTGCCAAATCAAAGTCTGGTTACTCCTCTGCTAACCCAAGCATCGGTGTCTCCAAATCCAGTCCCTGTTCCGATCACTGATAATAGGGAAGTATCATGGGAGTACAATGTTGTTTACATTCGTGGGAAGAAATTTGTATGTCCTATGATTGAGAATAAGGACATAACCAACATTTCTAGGACCAGTAGAATAACCCAAAGCAGAAGGGTCTTTGCTCCTAATCCACCTCCTCCTGAAGAAGTTATTGAAGAGGTTCTTGTGAAAGATAAGGGGAAGCAAGTAGTCAATGATTCTCTTGGGACGTCTTTCGAAGAGAAAGTGGAACAGTTAATTAGGGTAATCAAGAAGAGTGATTTTAAAGTGGTTGACCAGCTGAATCAAATGCATGCAAAGATATCAATATTACCCCTACTTCTGTACTCTGAATCACATCGAACAACCTTGATGAGAATTCTGTATGGTTCCCACGTGAACCCTGAAATTTCTATGGCCCAATTTGAAGGGGTCGTTACAAATATTTCCGCGGGGAACTATCTGGGTTTCAGTGATGACGAGCTTCCTCCTGAGGGCCGAGCTCATAATAAAGTGCTGGATATCTCCATCAGATGTTTAGACATTATGATGTCTCGAGTCCTAGTAGACACCGGGTCTTCTTTAAATGTGATGCCTAAATATACTCTTTTCAAGCTGAACATGGACGAGGTTATGATGAGACATATCACGCTAATAGTCAAAGCTTTTGATGGTTCAAGAAGATCTATGGAGGGAGAAGTTGACCTACTCATTAATATTGGTCCCCATGTGTTCTACTTATCATTCTATATCATGAATATTCATCCATCTTATACTTGCCTCTTGGGACATCCGTGGATTCATATGGCATGGGATGTAACATCAACTTTGCACCAACATTTGAAATTCATCATTCAAGACAAGGTCATCGTCATTAGTGGAGAGGAGGATATCGTGATCAACAATGTTACTTCCTTCCGTTATGTTGAAGTGGACAGAGAAGTACATGAAACCCCTTTCCAGGCCTTGGAAATCATTTATGTTGACATAGTCCCCTCCTTGGTGGAAACTAAAAAGAAATATGGAGTTCCAATGGCCTCCTTGAGGGATGTCAAAGCCATTGTGGAGTCATGAATTCCTAATGGAGATTGGGGTAAAGTGGTCGAAGTGCATGAAAAGTAAGATAAGTCTGGTCTTGGGTTCGGGTCCTCTTCTTCTGATCATGTTGATTCTGGTCCAACCATGCTCAAAGGGAAGCAGATTCCCCTGTTTTCATAGGTGTTTGTTAGTGCTGGTCCAAGTGTCCAAGGACGAATCCATGAAGTGGATAGTGATGATGAAGACAATACTGATATATCTCAGTATATTAACCAGATTGCGCCTGATCAAGAACTCGACAATTGGACTGCTATTGATATTCTCGAAGTGGTTTTCTTTGAAATGTAATGTTCTTGTTATAAATAAGTCACGTGCTTTTCCTGAGGCATGCTGACAGTTTGTGAAAAGGGCCCCCCTCATGTTTCCATGTTTGTTTAAAATTAAATAAAATCGCATTTTCGCATACAACTCTTTGTTCTCTGTCTTTTCTTTTTATTTTCATTAATTAAAAAATGGCAATGCTTTTCCTTTTAAATCTTTAACCATTTTCCACTTTGCATTCATATTCCAAAATAAGGCATGATTCATCAATCATGCAGGTCTTCCTTGAATTCCATTATAAATGTTGATGTTAAAGTTCCT